TTGATGAAAGCACTGCAGGACCTCACCTACACTGCAGCACAGCCCTCTCTCTTTAAAGTTGGAAAACAGCCTTCCAAAGTATTTTCTATACACCTGTTCCAAGCTATGTAAGTTAACATAAGGTAACATAAGGCTAAGAATGCAAGAATCTCTGCTCCATATAGAATATATTTTGAAACTGAAAAAAACAAACAAAAAGTTCCCACCATGCCACCCCTCCATCAGCATGGCTCTCCCTTTATCAGGAAGATCCACTTCTAGGACTCTCAGGAGTTCCCAAGATGATCTATTTAAACCTGGCATTGCTACTGAGACTGCCAAAAAGGGGACCAATTGCAATACAGTCACCCGTCTGCTAGGAAATGGAATGAAACCGACAATGCATTCACACAGGCCAACAAACAGCTGTCAGATTGTAACAACTTTGTCAGTGCCAACCTGGGCTGCAGTTGAACTAGTGACCTAGAAGTGAAAGGCGGCATATATCATTACTTATCTGCTCAGCCTTCTAGCCTCTGTTAGCTTTAATACCAGCATGGGTTTTTGTATGAAAAATCCTATACGTAAAAGCAATGCATGACTGCAGCCTACATGCAGATAGTCCACACTATGTTCAACTGATGTAAATCCTCAAATATAAAAAGGATCTTTGTAATCACAGCATTCTCACTAGACCCCTCCCGCTGACAAAGAAAAAATGGCCTTTGGAACCCCATGGGGTTTGTTCCAATTTAGATGGATGCCCTTCAGGCTACATGGGGCAGCGGCCTCATTCCAACACCTGATGGACTGCTTGCTGGCTCCCCAACAAGAGTACACAGCTGCGTATACTGATGATATTATTGTCTTCTCCCATGACTGGGAAACTCACTGCCAGCACCTACGGGAGATCCTCAAAGAGCTCTGTCAACCTAGGCTGACTGAATTCCTGGAAGTGTGCCTTGGAAAAGGAGGAGACCCAGTATCTTGTGTTTATGGTTGGACAAAGGAAAATAAAGCCCCTAGCTGATAAGGTGGAGGCCATCAGACAACATCCATTACCACAAACTCTCAAACAACTATGATCTTTCCCAGGTTTCGTCAATTATTACAGATGTTTCATCAAGGATTTTTCGGAAAAGACTGCACCCCTGATGGAGATGATGAAAGGTCGGAAAAAAATCAGACTACAGTGGAGTCCCCAGGCCATCCAAGACTTTGAACAAGTAAAGACAGCTCTGTGCCAACACCCGGTGCTGTATACGCCAGACTTTGAAAAGACATTTTTCTTACAACCTGATGCCTCCAGCATGGCATTAAGACCCATCCTTTTCCAAGAGGATGAGGGAGAAGAGAGACTCACAGCATTCGCTAGCAAAAAGCGAACACCAGCTGACACATGGTACTCTACAATCGAGAGGGAGTGTCTGGCTATCAGGTGGGGGGTAGAGCTGTTCCAGTATTACTTACTAGGCCGGAAGTTCACACTAATAACAGACCATGAACCCCTGCGCTGGCTGCGAACCGCCAAGCTTGGCAATGCCAGGCTAATGAGATGGGCTGTTGCTTTACAATCTTTTTATTTTTCAGTGAAACATCGGGAAGAAAAGCAGGAATTTGTACTTCCTATCATGCCCAGAAACCACGACAGACATGGATGCAAGAGCAACAAGCTCAACAGTTTAGGTCAAAGATAAAGAAGATCCGTTAGATCATAATTTTGGGGGGACAAATGAGGGGGAGGTGTGCAACAGGGGACTTTAGCTGAGCCCCTGTTAATAAGGGTGAAACTGAGGGTGAAACCAGATCACAGGTGCATAAGGGGGCTAAGGTACACACACCAGGAGCAGGTAAAGATTTAATGACCGCTGCCAGACATAAAGAAGAGAGAAGAAAAGATACTATTGTTGGCAAGATCACCCGAGGATTGGGAGATACCACGGGCGAGAAAAAGAAGACAAGGGCCCTTCCCTGGTGAGATGGGAGAAAGGGAGGTGGGGACTCTTACCTCCAGGATGTGCGATGGCTGGCAGGATCTCAGGGTTGCGGGAGCCGCGACCTCTGCCAGTTCTCCACCGGGACTGATGAGAGGCATCCTAAATGGTGGCGCATTAGTAGTTCTCTGAGAGAGTAAGCCGGGATCCCCACTGAGACAGCAGGGCCAGCAGCCAGCTGTGCAGAGCCCCTGAGGAGAGGCATGGCATCAGGAACCATGCCTGAAGAGGTAACTGGCATCGCCAGAGTTACAGAAACCCGCCCCCAGTCAGCAGCTAAGCCACACGGAAACCTAAACTGACTCAAGTGGCGAGTCCCCCACCCTGGCTAATGAGACAATTGGCACGGTGATACTTTTGTTTCCTTGTTTAAATAAATACTTACACTGGTGAAAGCAGCCCACTGGGTGGTCTGGCATATTTTATCCCTCCCCTCAGGGATTAACATAATTTCATTTTCCATCTTCTTCATTGTAGCAGGCGAGTACTGGGCAGGCTGGGGGGGGCGGGTGGGGAATGGCAGACATGCTCTCCCACGAAGGGCAAAGAGGTGCACCTCTGTTCAGGGATGGAAAAGTCATGCTAAGAAATGCAGCTATCTGGAAAGTCATGTTGGTTTATAAATCCAAACCACTGTCAATGCAAATTATATAGACAGGAGGGTGGTTCCATATTTTACCCATCCCATTTACTCTTCCTAATTTCTAGGTTCATCGTATGTTGCAAACTTGCAGTTACTGGTATGCAGGCTGTTTTTTTTTAAAAAGGTATATGTATGTTTGTGTCTACATGTTCTCCTCCATAGATCCACATTCACCTCCAGCCATTTCTGTTCCCAAGGGTATGTCTACACTGAAGCATGTGTCTACAGGTTCTTGTCCAAGCAAGCAAGAGCCAGGTAAGCTCACCTTTGCTCATCCATACTACACTGCCACATACAAGCTCCACTCTGCACACCTGACTCCACACTGCTACTCCATGTACATGTCCAGCACTGACACGTGGAAAGCAGATCCAAGATTTTCTACTCTCACACAGACTTGGTAGGAATTGGTGTACTGCAGAACAACCTGTCATTCTTCCAAGCCCCTAAGGGCAGAAGTGATATTAGTCTGTGGTGACCAGAGGCTCTTTCAGCAACCCCCTCACTTCCATCTGTTCATACAGGCAGGCCAATGAAACCATTAGATTGGATGTTTCTGAATTCAGACCAACTGTTTATGCTGTGAGATAGGTAGCCTGAGAGATACCCCATGCTCCTTCAGACCTCTGCATTGTGGAAGGGTGCCAAACTCAAAGGAAGAAGCCCATGGAAGAAGACTCATGGCAGTGGGCAGGCATGACAACTGCTGCGCAATCTGAATTCATGTGCCAGCACCTCTGAAGGAGTACCAGCTCTGAATGATAAATTAAAGTCTTACAGACATGAGATGACCAGCATGAGGCAACAGAACAGTATGAGCCTGAAATAACAACTGGCTTCAGTGACCCAAATTGAGCTGGAGGCATTGATGGAAAGTGTATCCACAGATTGCTATCCTGAAGGAGCAAGCAAATACGTCAGCAAAAGGATGAGGGGAGGGGAGGAGGGGGATAAAGTCCCTGGTTCTGCTAGACTTACTGAAAAACAGAAGCAGGCTCAGGAATAACATGGGAAGAACAAGAAAGGTACATAGCAGCAGGGTACTGGAAAGATCTAGTCCCGATATACTTGGAGAAAGAGAGAAGCAGTTGCCACTTATGACAGGCAGCCTCCTCCCCCCCTCCCCCCATGGCCTGTGAAACTCTTCCCTAACTGCAAAAGACACGGGGAAAGAAAATTCAGTGATGCACTTGACTGGCAGAATGACGGCGGAGTGTACATTCAGCAAGCTGAGGCCAAAGTAGGCTGATCATCCAGATATCGTTGTGGCTAATACCACGGGTATGAATGCAGGCTGCTGTCCCCTGTATCACCTCTGTAAGGATAAAAGGTGAGGGAGGTAGAACCTGCACACTAATGGCTGCTGAAGTAGTTTACATAACCCAAAAGTGCAATACTGGTACAGGTTCCAAAGTAGAAAAAGATAAAGGGATGAGGGATGCCACATGCCCTACATGCTAGCCAGGCAGGCTGATGGTTAGAAGTAATGACTGAAATATGTTTACGGTTGCTTTGATAACCTATCTATAAAACCAAGTGTAATCAATCTTTCACATATCCCAGGCCAGTGCTGAAGTGAGTTGCTTCTTTCTCTTCATACCTACATCAATTTTACTTTAAAATGTTACTTTCCAAGTGATTTACATTTGCTGATATATTAATAGTACTTTTTTGCATAACTGTGTACCTTCATATTTTTGAGAGTAATCTGAAAGCAGCTAGGATGGCAAATGGAAAAGCAGAAGTTTATTAAAAATAAACAAAATCCCCAAATACACAGATGGGAACCAAAAAAACAAGACAAGCTCCTAGTTACCGTTTTCAAAGTATACTACAGTGTAAGTGTAGCACAGTGCAGTGCAAAACAGGTAGATCCATATTAAAGAAAAAAAACAAAAGCAAAAACACCTGTAAGCAGCCCCCTTGGCAGTGGCATCTATGGTTTGCAGTGCCTTTGCTGTCCTTTTCCTGGCACAGCATCTTATGTGCAGGGCTGTATAGGTGGCAAAGTACACAGGTACTGTTTGCTTCCCCTCTTTTAGTTCCTGGAATCATCCACTATCTGAGAAATCCCAAATACTTCCAATCCTGCCAATTTACAGGGTGTGACAGCACACTGAGGGGACTAAAGGAACAGGGGCTTTCACAGGTGTTTATGGTTCTGAGCAGGTCTCAGCATCCATGTTGAAAAACCACTCTATGAACACAGAGGTCCCAACTCTATTAAATTCTTCTGCTCAAGGAATTGCTGCAGCATTCATTGCAGGATCCTGCACCTTCCATGCCCACTTGGTTGCCTTGTATTTCTTGCTCCTAGGCTTCATTCCTGCACCACTATCATCCTTGGCCTTATTATTCCTTTTGTAGGAGGGACATGTTCTTACACAGCCTCCTGGAAATGAGGGCCATCCCTTCAGATCTGGCAGTACCTGCCAAGACAAGAAGAGAAAAGGCATTTTCTTTTTTTTTTTTCTTTTTTAACAACATGGGAAAACAGAACTCCCTCCCTGCCTTGATACAGAAAACAAGCAGAGACAATATTTTACTATTTTTTTTACCACTTCTCATTTCTGAGGTCAGCAGCTCAGAAGCTTTAGGTGCAGACTTAGCAAGATAACAGCTAGGAGCAGTTGTTTTAAAAACAGCTGTTACAACTTTGGGAGGTTTGAACTGTAACTGGATCTCCATTACCAACATTAGGTTCTCTCTCTTTTTCAAGCTGGGCTACCCAATAAAGACATTAAAGACCCATTAAATTCTAGGCACTGGAATTTCTGAACAGAACAGGGAGAGAGCATTTTAGGTTGGAGTGAATATTTTTATGACCTTGGTGACAGAAAAGCATAAAGAGAGGGGTCCAGTGAGACACCGGGGGATTTGTAAAGTTTGCTCTTCTAACTTAAATGACCAGATAACTTTTCATGCAGCAGCAAATCTAACAGGCATCTCCTTCCAGGAAGGGAGAAAAATCAGCAAGGAATACTGATGAAATGCTGAACTAAGCAGAACTAAGCTCCCCACTAAAGCACCACAAGCTTCCTAGAAAGAAAGGAGCAAGACAAGGACAGGAACCAAAGTCTGAGGTCTTTACCAGCAAAGACTTGACTGATTTATGCACCTAGAAACTTTTGCTTTTAGCCAAGATCCAGACCGATTATGCCTCAGAAAAAAAAATTCACTCTGGGATATCTGGAAGTGTTCAAGACAAGACTGGACAGACACCTTGCTGGGATCATTTGATCTTAGAAGTACTCCTGCCCAGAGCAGGGGGATTGGACTCTTATGATCTTTCAAGGTCCTTTCCAGCCCCTAATTTCTATGATTCTATGATCTCCAATAACAAGCCACAAGCTGAAGCTTGTGAAGGCTGAAGCTTGGTAACTGTGGGTGCATCTACACCAGGAGCGAGCAATTATTTTGGGTGGAGGGCTGCTTACTAAGTTTTGGCAAGCTGTCAAGGGCCACATGGGTAGCCCCGCCCCTTGACAGGTGCCCCATCCCCTAGTCGTCATCTTGGGACCAGAAGTCCCGCCCCTAACCTCTGACCTTTGCCACCAGAATCCCTCTCCTTGTCCCTGGAAGTACTCCTTTGGGGAAGAGGGTTTGCCATCTTAGGGGAAAAAAAAAACTAATTACATACTAAAAAATCAAACACCCATAATAATATATTAATTTAATTTAAAAAAAAGCAATGTGTCCTGATTTGTGCTGTATTATGCACAAGTGATTGCATATGGGGGCTTGTGGAGGGTGTGGATGTGTGTGTAGGGGTATGGGAGCCATGTAGTGCAGAGTGGCCGGTGGGGGGCATGAAAGCGGTGGGGAAGTGGGGGGCGTGGAAGCAATCGGCGTGTAGGAGCGTGGGGCCTACACCAATGTCCTAGGGCCAGCACCCACAGGGCCCTGAGTGGGGCGGTAGGAGCGTGGGGTGTCGGCTGGCAGGGGTCTGTGGAGCTGGGCTGGGCTGCATCAGCAGGGAGAGGGGGGAGTTGACTTGACTCCATAGAGCCCCTGCTGGCCGACACCCTGCACTCCTGCCACCATGCCTGGGCCCTGCCGGCACTGGCCCCCGCAGGATACTGGTGTGGGTTCCATGCTCCCACCTGGCTGCCACTGGCTCTGCTCACTCCCAGTGCCCCTGCCCCAACCCTGCAGTACAGGCAGGGAGCAGTGTGGAACCCCAACCCCACATGCTCCACACTCGCCTGTGAGGAACGAGATGGTGCTCAGCACAGGAGAAAAGTTCTCCCCCCTCCCTGTGGCCAGTGTCCCGTGCTGCAGTCACTCGGAGCCCGCATAGGGCATCCTGTCTCTCCACCATGTCACCGCCGCCCCGCAGCATGATGCGTCAGCGGCGGGGAGAGGGGGGGTGATTTTCCCTCGCGCTGAGCACCAGTTCATTCCCTGCGGCCACTGCTAGCCTGGGCCCTCTGCCAGCTCCAGGTCACACATCAGGGCTGAGTGGCAGGGG